CGATGATGATGATGTTGATGACCATGCAGAGGATGGCCGTGATCATGATGAATGTAAAAACGCTGAGAATGACGATGGGGTCGGCGTGATGTGCTGGCGATGACACTGCTGAAGAGTTTAGGGTTTTGGCCGTGCGGCTGGCACCGTGATTTCAGCACCTCATGCTGAGCTGCTGCAGGAGATGCTGTACGATTTCCGGCAGCTTCCCTGGGCGAGTGCCGGTGCCGGGCTTGTCGACCTCCATAAACCGGAGCAGCCATTGATTGACTTGCCACATGCGCTTCGCGACCCCAGGCAACGTGCCATAGATTTTCTCCCCATGCTCCACCGCTGCTTTGCGCTACTTTTCAAATGAACTGTGGAAGTCATTATTAGCATGTTTAGTATCATTCGTGCTAGTAGTAGTATTGTTCGTTATGTTAGAATTACGAGCGTTATTATCATTATTACTATTGTTGTCATGTTAACTACTATGGCTTTCAGTATTCGTACTATCATTAGTGTCGATATTGCTACCATTATTACTATGAATATCGTTATCAGTATCATTGTTGCTGTTGCTGCTCTAATTCCTGGTATTGCTGCTGTTGCTGATGTTGATGTGGATGCTGGTGTTTAAGTTGAGGTCGATGCTGTTGCTGCTGCTGTCGTTGCTTCTTTCTGTTGGCTTAGATCTTATCAATATTGTTACCCTAAACCCTAAACCCTACAAGAATGGCGGTAATGAAGGAGCCTCAACTCGTGAGGCTCCGAAAAGCCTAAGCGCTAAGCTACAAGAACTCTCCAGAAGTCTTGCAGAACCTTTATAGAACCTCTAGGGGGCCAACATGGGGGTTTTCGAAAATAAGAGGTACCTTATTTGGCGCTCCATAATAATAAGGACCCTACTATTTAGGATNNGGATACTACATTAGGGTCCCCTATTTTCGGAAACCCCATAATGCCTTCAATGCTCAATAATCTGAGACATCTTGTGGTCTAAAGCTTAAGGCAAGCCCCAGACGGTTTAGGGTTCAAGCCTAAAGCCACAGACCCCTAGGCCCCAAGCCCAACCCCCAGCTTGGGGCATCCTCTCGGCTCGTGTCCGTTCGGCTGCGCTGGCTTCGAGGACGCCCTCAGGGAGCTAACAAAATGCTACATACCCCTGATCCGAATGAGCCCTCACACCCCTAATCTCAAACCGAACACTCCCGCCCTGAACCCTCCCTTAGCACAGGGTCCAGCGTTTAGTGTTTCGGGTTGCGGGTTTCGGGTTCAGGGCTTAGGAGCTTTATGGGAGTTTGCAAAAATTAGGGTACCTTATTTTGGGGTCCTTATAATATGGATCCTATTATTTAGGGTACTATATTAGGGTCCCCTATTTTCGGAAACCCCCTTATCAGCCTTGGACAGGATTTTATAGGGGCCTTCATGGCAAGACTCGGGCTCTTGAGGCACATTGTTGTGTAATTATGACTACAAGGGGCAATTAGGGTTAGGGTTTAGGGCTTAGGGCTTAGGGTTTAGGGTTTAGGGTTTAGGGTTTAGGGTTTAGGGTTTAGGGTAACTCTTACGAACCCTTCCCTAAACCCTAAACCCTCAACCCCTCCATTGCACTTACCGGGGTCGACTATGGGCCTTGGACTATACCGTCTTCAGGGAAGGAAGCCGCGCCTTCGCTGCTTTGGCTCGGGAGGCGGATGCCCTGGGAATAGCCCACAGAACACAATGAGGGTTGGGTTTAGGGTTCAGGGTTTAAGGTTTCAGGTCTAGGGGTTTAGGGTTTAGGGGGTGTGTTGGGTTCAGAGTTCAGGGCTCAGAGTTTAGGGTTGAGGGTTTGGGGTTTAGGGTCTACGGTTTAGGAATGGTAGAACGCTGCCTTCAGGTGGGACCTACGGGTTTCGTCAGGGTGCTGTGCAAAATCCTTTACGGGTCACTTATATGTATCACGTTATTGATAAGGCTTGTAGCAGAGGTCAGGAGTTCTATATCTCTTCATTGACACGTCGTTTATTCGGCTTCCTACTTGTTGCTGCATGTCATGTGGTCTTTAAGCCACGGCCATGCTCGGGAATTGCAAGCAGCTTGACTTTACGTGGGGAGGCGAGAGCCTCAATCTGTTGAGATCTCCAGATCGTTGTGGTCCACACTCCGGTCTGTCACAGTAGGCTCATGCAGCACATCTCCAATCGGATCAGGTTAGATCGGGTGGATCAGCAGCTGGCAATTCTGCAAGCCACCACCCTAGCACAGAAGCCTAAATCATTAGAAATAGGGTTTTGGGGCCCGTTATACGATACTTATAATAAGGAGCCTTCCGTAAGGCTTCTTTAAGTAATTATGAAGATAGTATACCCCACAACCCTGGTCTAACTACCAAGGCCTCTGCATCAAATCTCAAACCTCCTGAATCGAACCATACACCCTAAACCCCAAACCCTGCGGGCGTTGAGAATTTAAGGTTACTACTAACATCGCGCCGCAGTTACTGACGTGCATGTGAGAATGGCATTTCATATCACAGAGCTTGTACTGGGATACTCTTGCTCAGTATTCCGACCCCTCTGTTAGCTAAAGCTTTGACGGCAGCTACATCAATCAGTGATCATTTGCCCGTCGCTTCAACGAATGTGGAAGAAGTTTGAAAACGAAGAAGATGATGATGATGATGGTGGTGGTGATCGTGATTGTGATGGTGATGATGATGAGGAGGAGGAAGATGAGGAGGATGAGGAGGATGAGGATGAGGATGAGGATGAGGATGAGGATGACGATGATGATGATGATGATGATGATGGTGGTGGGAAAAACCCTTGCAAACAATAGCAGTGAACTACACAATAGCAATGCCAAACACACCCACCATAAGATGTCAGGTAACGGTAGAAGCTGTCTTCGAATAACGCTTACAATCAAAAGACTCTGTGGAAGCAATGCGCCTCATCGACACCATAGCCGAGGAGGTGCCTTCTGCTGTCGGGATTTGGAGTTGACGGTCTGGAGAGTTTAGGTCTTAGGGTTTGTCGGTTGCCGAAGGTTCTTCCGTTGGCCACATACAGAGCAGCGAGATTAACGACTTCAGCATCCAGGCATAAACGGCTGATATAGATGTCGGGGCTTGGGGTCTGAAATACTAAATACGAGCATTCCAGCCGTATTGCTGCTGATGCTGTCTCTGCTATCCGAGTTCTCCATATCTGTATTTCCGCATTTATAACTGTTCCTGCTGTTCCCAGTACCTTGTTGCTGTGACGACTACTACTTTGCAAGAGATGCCTATTTTGCTCGATTGCTCTGCCACTGCTCCATTACCAGCACTACGACTCGAGTTACCGCAGTCTCTGTTGCACTTCCTCCATGGGGCTGAGGGGCCCTAGTGATGGAAGAAGTCTTGAGCCGCTTACACGTATACAGACACAGGCACAAAGAGGCAGCCGTTACGCTCCAATGTAGGGGCCTTTAAAATTAGAATAAGGTTTTGGAGTATATTGTACTATTATTTAGATAAGGAGTCCCCAAGATAGTATTCGGCACTTCGGTGCGGACTGTCGTGCTGACTCGTAGAGCCGGCGCGTCCCAAAATTCGTGCAAACTAAGCGGTGAAACCGGGGCGAGAGCCCCAAAATGAAACTGTGGCAGCCCTGGGCCCCTCCTTGGAGGACTCTCCTATGTAGTCAGTGATCCAAGCCACAACGCTTGCAGGAGGTGTGTAAGGAGGGCGGAGCCCAGAAAGGGGAAGGTCCTCATCATCATCGGGAAGTCCAGTGAGCCTTTCCGGACCTGTAGGGATGCGAGGTCCATACGCCAAAGCGGCTGCGCAAGGTGGAACATACTCTCTCCAGGCCCCCTTTTTGATTCTGGCTGCTTGAGACTTGGCCAAGGACTCGGCCTGCCTGACATCGGAAAGGGAGAGAGGAGGTATGACATGTGCCGCCCTAAGTAGGCATTTAGCAGACTGTTTGAGGTGCTGTTGTACGCGCTGTACACACCCATAATGCCGCATGCATGCCAGGCAATGTTCAACCGGCGCGAAGTGTCGAGAGGGGCTTATGACCTGGTGGGTGCGAGCAAGGTGGACGCCCAAGTGCTTCCGGAGCACAAAAGTGGCATCGCACAATGGACAGGCGAAATTGCTTGGGGCTGCGAGAGCTGCTGTATGTGGCGTACAGGCCCCAGCAGCGTGCCACTTGCGCAAATCGTGGAGGAACACCTTGGTGGCCTTTATGACCTGTTTAAACCACCATCTGGGGTTATCAACAAAGGTCTCTAGTAGGCCTTGAACGCAGTCCTTGGCTGGGATGAAGGCTTTCACCTCGGGCAGGAAGGTAATGACAGCCTGGTAATCGGTCTCGAGCTGCGCCAACCAAGAGGTCTTCGGTGCCCGCTGCCAGTGAGCAAACAGCCAGGCTCCGAGCGCGGTGGGCCCATCGCCCGTAAGTCTGGCCAGGAACGCGGCTCGCGCACGGGCTAAAGCCAATGGAGGTGAGGGAGCCTGCGCCAAATGCAAAACCTGATAGGCATGCACGTGGTTCTGATGGGACGCGTTGGCGTGTAAACATCTCCACAATGAGATGTATTGCTGAGCCCACAGACGTTGATGAATCCCTGCGCGGAGAAAAAGGGTGGCTGCAGAATAGGCAAACTTGGAGATGGCCAATGTTCGAAGGAGAGTGCGGCGTGTCGCTATCGGGGTGTTCCTGTCAGCAAAGAGACGCCTCCGTAACGGACGGACGACGGACATGGCTTTAGAGTACCCGTAGCGGAGGTCTGGAACAGGTGACCCGTCTGCAACAAGTATGCCACCTAGGTGCTTGTAAGCGGAGACTACAGGAAGTTCGTGATACTCCTGTGTCACACCGCTCACTATTGGAATGAAGCGCTGACCATGGCGATCAACGCACAGTATATGTGCCTCCTCAGGGACCCAGTTAGGGAGGACAACAGCAGTTTTGTCAACTGCGAATGTAAGTCGCATCCCCAAAGCTATAACTCTGCCCGCTACGATGGCAACGCTGGCCTGAGTACGCTCAAGGAGGTCTTGCGTGTCGCGGCCATCGACTGGCTGAACAAAGTCATCGGCCCACGCAGGGCAACCCCAAGATTGAGGTATAGGCAGTTCAGCCCAGGTTGGAGGATCGGTGGGTGTCAGCTTTTCTGGCAGAAGGTGATTGGTCGCCAGGACTTCCTCAATGCTGCGTAACAGTGCTGACATGACTAATCCAAACACTGCGTCGGCAGCTGGATCTCCGGGTCGCGTCCCGCGCCTCGTGATGGTAGTGATCGCGCTATGGGTGAGTTTGAACCAAGTTCCTCGGTACAGGTCCTGCACAAGAGCGGTCAAGTGTGGGGAGGCCTGCATGGCGGGGAGCATGGCAAGCCCCTCAAGTTTGTTCCGCAACTCATCGATAGCTGCTGAAGGGAGTCCTAGCTCATGGAGTAATAGCAGCAACTTGCGATCACTGGTGTCGCCTGGGACTACGAGCTGTCTGACAACGGAGTAGAAGGCAGCTTGCACATCATAGAAGACCAAAGCCCAAGGTCGCCTATGATGATGATGGAGGTGCTGAAAACACTGTGCCGCTAATGCTATGTGTTCTATTCCTTCCCCGGGCACAGCTCCGGCTTGCATCGGGGGCCTGTGCTGGTCGAGGAGTGCCACCAGCCTTGTTCTTAGCGCCCGGTGGAGTATTTTTCCGGGCACACTACTGATGAGGATGCTGCGGAAACTGCTGCACTGTAGAACGGCCCCTGCCTTTTTGGCGAGACAAATCAGTTCCCCGCCCCTGAAGTGCACCGGTTCTCTCAGGGCGAGAGACGCCTTGAGGCACACAGGATAGAACTGTCGCATCATCGTGGGCGTATGGATTTGAAGCAGTTCACCGGCAACCTTGTCCAATCCAGCAGCTTTGCGCGGCGGCAAGGCCTGCGCAATGGTTTCGAGCTCGGCCAGGGTCGGCACAGCATCGAGGTCAAACACTGTCTGCTTTGAGAGGCGCGAGCACTCTTGCATGTGTTGGATGTATTGCTCATCTGTAGCAGGATGGCCGGCTTCCTGCCTTCCGAAGTGGCTTCTCCATCGCTCAATGCGGTCGGCACCCGTCACTACAAGTTCCCCTTGCTCGTCACAAACCGCAGGAAGTGGCTTAAAGGCACTAGTTCGCGCGGAGCGGGCAGCTGGGTAGGCCTTACGCACAGCCTGGTACAGTGGCCGCGGGTGTCGGACATCTTGTAGTCGCACTTGGTCGGCAAGACTAGCCAAGTAGTTCCGTCGCTCTATTTCGACTTGGCATCGAATGTAGTACCCATACACATGGAGCCGATGTAGTGCTTCAGCCTCGCTGTAGTCCAGCTCGGCAAACCACCGTCGTAGGACATGGAACTGTGCAGCGGTAAAGTACCGACCTTGTGCATGGGTCCGAAAGACAGCAAAACCGAACTGAAGCAGTCGACGCTTCCGTTCCTTGGCTTCTAGTCTGAGATAACAACGCAGGCTCTGCCGCATTTCAACCAGATGTCTAGTGTGTGGGCTAAGGTAAGTTTGGGTCGAGGCAGCCTTTGCTGGGCGGTCGACATGGTCGAGGTCTTGACCAGTCTGTCTCCAGCTGGTGGACAGGCGCTCATAGTGCTCGTCAACATCCAACTGCCAGCCGAAAGCTGGTACACCAGCCAGCGCAGCTTGAACGGCCCGAGTAGCAGCAACGGTGGTCGGTTTGCTTGGCCTCGCAGCTGAGGGTTGGTGAGGCGCATAGCAAGCCGGGGGGGCTTTGGTAGCACATCGACATTGTAGTACGACTGGGCGGTGGTCGTCCCTGAGCTGCAAGAGTTCGAAGTCAGGCAGCACCTTGGAACTAAGGCTGAAGTGTGCCCAAGAGAGTGGCACAATGGGGTAATCGATGCGGAATTCTCCCCCTCCTGGTGAGGCCCATGTTGCACTGGGGCCAGTGTGGACCTCAGTGAATGTGGTGGGCAAGCACGCCCCAATGTCTTGTAGGAAGTCGTGTAGTGTCTCACCGGCCGGGTTCTCTTCCTCCGGATCCACATCTCCGACATGTATGGAGGTCATGCTTCCAACCCTAGCATTCGCGTCTGCGAGGATAAGGAAGTCATGGCCCGGTGGGCGGCGTGCAAGATCTTTGGCACGTGCAGCCCAAAAGGCTTTCACTTCCGCAAGAGGCACACTGCTTGCGCTGGGCGCATGTGCAACAATGACATACAACTTTAAGGCCTCAGCTTGGATGCACGCGCACAAATGCCTGGGGGAGACCCCGCAAACGTAAACCTCGGAAGAGCGGATGTACAATGGCCGGCCCTGCTTATGTGCATAAGGAACATGCTGCGCGATCCAAAGCGCGCATCCTAGCTGACCAGTGGGTGTGGCACCCGACTGGTAAATCCAGTAGTCACTATCAGCTTGCATGCTGTCCTGCGGCAGCCGGGTTTCTTGGAGCCCGATGAGGAGGGGATGAAGCTCACTGATCTGCTGCTTCAAAAGGGCTTTGCGGCCGATGACTCGGAGCCCAACTTGCTCTTGTTGCTGTGGGCCGGCCGCTGGCCTTAAGGTAAGGACGTTATAGGTCAAGACAGCAAAGTCATAGACGCATTCGGTCCGGGGAATTGATTTTACGGCGCCGGGGAAGGGGGCCTTAGTCGGCCGTGCGTCATCGGCCTGTAACCTCGCAGCCTCAGATTCCAATGTATAAAGCGGTGGGAGATCGCCAGTGCTGTCGGCCAGCATCCAACACCATGCTCGCAGGGGATGGTCTCGAAGCTGCGCAGGCCATGTAGGCAGCATCCGATCATGCTCGGGCTCCGGGAGTCTACGGGCCTTCTTAGCAAGTTGATCTGAGAACTCGTTAGCGAGGTGTCCTGCGTGGCCTGGTACGTGGTCGTGTGTCATCTCTACCCTAGTCGTAGCCAGCTGACGCAGATGTACAAGATAAGCAGAGAGGTCTGACGGTGTCTTCGTACTGCTGCTGGTCGGCACCTTCCACACGCCAAAGGCTCCCCGACCTGCTACCAAGCAGTCGTAGTCGACCTGTATTGGGCAACGGTACCTGGGGCCGAACTCGACGACCCAGCATAATGCCCAGGCAATAGCAAGCTGTTCGGAGGTTTGGGGGGTGTCATCAACTTCCCCAAGATGGTACGGAGATGTGGATCCTACCGCACTGCCTGAAGCATAACCGACTAGTAACAGCTCACCCTGCAGTACAGCCCATACACCAAAGGCCCAAGCACAAGCTGTGGGGTTATCGGCGAGCTGAGCTGCTGAGCCGTCCGTGTAGACTCTGAGAAGCTCCGGGGCGGGGTGACCGGCCTCGTCCCATGTACGGACGTTGGCAAAGCGAGTGCGGTGCTCGAGCGGCACCTGGGGATCTTGTGTGAGATAGCCGAGACTGTTATCCAGCCAATCGAGTGCTTCGCCAGCCTCAGCAAGAAAGGGGAGCAATGCCGTCAGGCGTAGCACCTGTGTCTGATACTCCGACACGGGAACCAGCTCTGCCAGAGGTAAGATGACATGCTCCTCAACAGTGTATGTGGACATAGGAGTCCCCTGAGGGCGATAGTGGCGAGCTCGCAAGGCCTCCAAGGCATCGGCCTGCTGGCGGAAAATTTGATATCCGAGGTCGGCAACGCTCTGTTCAAGGAGGGTCGGCCCCAAGCAGCTCGAATACTCATAAAGATCGTCGGCCTCGGCAGACCTGGTAGTAACTGCCATGTTTTGGGTGCTAGCATGGTTGCTATTTGCATGGGCTGATATGTCAGTGGCGATCAGTCCGCCACGACATGGCGTCGGTAGGGCACGATACACAGTTGCAACGGCTATGGTAACGCCAGCCCCTACCCCTGATCCAACGTCGTTGGGTTTAGCAATATGTATACCAGGGTGCATGGCTTCAACCGGGCAGAGGCTAAGCCCAAAAAGAAGTAGGGCCATACAGGTGAATGGAGACCGGCGCAGCCTCTCATAACGCCACTGTGCAAAGAGGGCTAAGATGGGCAGGGCTCGGTTGCCCAACATACAAACACTACAAACGAGGACCAGGAGGACAGAGGTGTAGCAAACGTTGCCCGTGCAGTGGGCGTGTTCCCTTTGGCGTTTGCTCCACTTGGCTACTCGACCGGTAATCGTCTGATAGGCGTGCACCCTTCTTGCAAGGCGTTGCACCTTTGGCGTGTTGCTGAGCCGTCGGTGTTGGCTCGGGGGTTGCGAGACTTCATTGTCTCGGTCAGTGGTTGATGTAGCACCTCCTTGTCCGGCGGGAGAGGTGCTAGTCGCGGGGTCGAAGAGAGCTGCTGCATTTGATGCTACTGCAGCCTCGGACAGCTGTGGGGGGGCCCCATCATGGGTAGCCCCGTCATCGGCATTGGCATCCTGCTGTGATAGGAACTCGACTATGAGAGTGTCTCCTGCAAGGATATGGTGCCTGGTGGAGACTAACTGCGAAAGCGGGTCACCCCCATAAACCGTAACAACAAACCCTGTAGGGCAGAAGGGGGCAAGACGTTGCCTCAGCCCTTCGACAGAATATACACCTTCAGGGGCATAAGCTGGCTGAAAACCCAGGTACACAGGCCGCATGTCCAAGATGAAAGGAACGTCCTCTGAGGCACTCGGTTCGCCGGTACGCACATCAACTAGGGCAAGCAGCACAGATCTGGTTAAACGGCCAAGGTCTGCAAAGTCTCGGACGGGGGGCCTAACGGGCTGAAGGCGCAAGGCAGAACTTGTGGTCCCAATTGCAGCAGCGACATCGCTTCGGAAGTGCTGCAAGCGACTGCGATCTACGTCGTAAAGGATCGGACTGGTATCGGTAACGACCCATATGCGGTCATCATATCGACCTGCAAACGCATCCTCAGCACTCCAGCCTTCTTGGCTGCGAAGCATGTCCCGTAAGACATCACGCCGAGGCATGGCAAACGGACTGGGGGCAATAGTAATCAAGTCACCGTCGGTAACCTGTACAGCCCTTCCTTCTTCTAGCGGCCAAGGTGAGTCACCGACATGCACGCTGACCTGTTGAGAGGGATCAACGTCCGCAAGTGTCAATATGGAACCAAGCTCAAGTCGGTCTGGTACGCATACTGCGAACAGCCGTTCGTCTAACCGGCGGGCGTCAACCAAGATGATTCTCTGTGTTGCAGGCCACGCTGGCAGCGCAATGATCGTGGCAAATCTAGCATCTGGCTGTGGGGCAACCGGTATCAGGCCGGGAAATCGCCGCCTGTCCTGTTCCCATCGACGTGTGGAGAATTGTCCCAGGGAGGTATCCATGGCGACGGGTAACTCGACGTCAATCTCATGCAGTTCAGGCAGATAGTCCGGCACTGCTACGAGCAGTTGCAATGGCTCTGGGCGGACGGCGTAAGCGGAACCTTCCCGCATAGGCTGTCCGTACAGAAGGGCAGGCATAGCCCGTTGTATGGCCTCGAGCGCCTCTGTGACCTCCGGAGCTGCGAGATAGACGACATCCTCGCCTTGATCATTCTCACTCCATGTGGTGGCCCGCGGCACGTGGGTCGCTGGCAAGGGTATGGGCCCTGGAATGCAACCTATCACAAAAACCTGGCCTGGTACGGTGCCTACTTCTGTTTCATGATTGTCGATACCCTCAATGGTAATGTCGTAACCAAAGGGTGCCGAAATTCGCAGGCTTTGTAGCAGTTCAGGTATTTGAAGTTGATGATCCCAAACTGGCCAAGTTGCCCATCCTTCGAAAAGCGCTCGCAGGTCCAAGATAATGAGATGCGACCTGTCCGGGTCGGGGACCTGCCTTTTGGCAATGGCAATCGCAGTAAGGCAGGCGATGCCGTCAATCTCGGAGTCGCTTATCCGAGGAGCAGAAGGGGTGACAACCACTTCATGCTCCTGTGCGTCAATGGCTTGGGCAAGTTGCTGTCGATATCTTGGGGGATTATGTAAGTCGACATGGATCCGTCGGTGGCTCTGATTGTACACCAGACAGTACACGGCATCCTCGTGCGGGGGCGACCAGTTGGGCTCAGTCCTCCACTCCTCAGACCGCAGAAGGGCAGTAGGCAGGTTCCACTCTGCATCCGGAGTCTGGTCAGCAGGCAAAAAGGTGATCGAGGTTCCCAGGGCTGCGTGAATCATTGCATCTCCTTGAAGAGAGACGCTATCGATGCCCGCCAAGACCTGAATGTGCGGAGTGTCTGTAAGGTCAGCAAGTTCAAGAAGGACGGACCTATCTGCATAAGCCGGTGCCTGAGTTGCAAACAACCTGCCATCAAGGCGCGTGAGATCCATGCACAAGATACGGGCATCACGTCGCCAATGTGGCGTTGCAACAAACACCCCAACGCCTGTGAGCCTTTGTGGAAGTACATGATGTAAGTATGGGAATCGTCGAGCCTTGTCCGGGTCCCTGACTTGCTGAATCAAAGTGAGCAAATCCGCTAAAACGGCAGGGAACTGCAAAGACACAGTTACCTGCTCGGGGACATACTCGGGGGCAAGGATGAGGCAGGAGACCCATCTGGGTCCTTCAGGCGTACTATCCTCATCAACTTCCTCGGGGGCAGGTCCCATCGGAAGTGCACGAAGGTGTCTCTGATATGGCCACATGCCGTCGATTTCGACGGTTATGCGTCTCAGGTTAGAGAGGAGCTCCTGGCCGGATCTATTGCTGGAGCTGGGTTCGGAGAGGATGCGTTGGAGCCGCGCAAGAACCGTATGCGGGCCACAAGCGTGCTTGAAGTGCCCTGGTTTGGCAGCATCAATGTGGCAAGGCAGAGTCTGGGCAACCTTAACTAAGCCGCCAACGAGGCTGCCGACATCAGGACGTCGGTTGATGGACCCGTATGCTCCGATGCTAAGGGTTACTACCTCATCATACCTGTCCTGGAGGCATTGATGTCCAGGAAGAACGTCGGCAAGCAGTGCAATGAGCTCTGACACATAGGTGCGGCCTTCCAAAGCAGTTATTGGGCCCTGGTTTGCACATGAGCTGCTTAGCAGGTCTGCCGGCGCTACATAGAGCAAGGGCGAAGGGAGGATGGACAGCACGTCGTCCATCCAAGAGCCATGATATGAATGGTCTGAGGGGGAGCGAGGAGAGGGCTCCCGCGTGCGAGACCTTCTCGGACTTCGCGACCTGGTAGTGGCCTCCGAATCTCTGCCATCATCATCGTCGTCCTCGTCATCGTCATCATCGGTATCCTCAGAGGTTGGGATAAAGGAGGACGGTGACGGCGTATCAGAGTCGGGAACCACATATTGAAACCCAAAAACTAGGACCCCAAGATGGTCTACATCAAGATGATGTCTGCGACGTCGTCCGCCAACAATCCGCAACTTGTATCCGGGCGGTGGCTGTTTAGTGACGTAGTTCTGTAGCTCATTGAGGGGGATCTGAGGCTGCCCAAGTACTGCAAACTGGACACCTTCCGCAAGTTGGCGCAGATCCAAGAAGATCACGTATTGGGGGTCGGGAGCATGCGGGACAACCGCGAGTACACCCCTGACGTCTGATCCTTTGTATTGGAAATGCTCGAGGATGGGGTCTGTAGGCGCATAAAAGTCGACAGTGCTTCTGTCGACTCCTATGAACATCGCAGCTGCAACATCATGTGACACGGCACTTGGGCGCGAGGCGAGCAAATACCTGCCTGTTTCGTGAAGGAGCAATAACGAGGCCTTGGCGCCTGTTTGCTTGGGGAACCGCGCAGGGTGCCTCCAGACCTCAGGGAACTGAAGCCTATACTGCAGATCGTTAGCAGCGAACGGTCTCCGATCCGACTGTAGGAAGGTGACAAGACATCCGTTGGCTAGTACAATCGATTCTTCTTCGGCAAGTGGTACCTGATCGGTTCCAACGAACACTTGTGCTGGCTTCGTCCCGTAGAGGCCTGCGACTCTGACTAACTCAGCCAGACTCGTTGGCCTTGTGACAAATGTTGCCACGATCGGTCCTTCGCCTGTGTCGGACATATCGCGCAGATCCAAGCATACCAGCGTGAGGGCAGCGTAGGTTGTCCAGTCAGGCGCAAGCACATATGCCGCGCAAGTAGGAAACGGCTGAGGCCTTACGGGTATAGCTCGGCTGCTGAAAGGCGACTGATTGTCGTTAGTCGCCCTTTCCACGACATCCGTCGCATCTTCTATGTCGCACGGCATTCCCAACTGAAGCTGCATGACCTTAGGCTGGTAGCCTGGCGCCGCTATCCATACCGGGAACGCAACATCTATGGTATCAACAGGTCGTGTGTGTTGAACCTTATTGTCGATCTCATGGCGAACGGCAACAGGCGGAGGGGGGCCTTGAGGCACGCGACCTAGGTAGGGGTCAATGAAGTCGGGAACAAATCGGCTGGGGACCCCTGTTGTAACTATGTCGGGCCCCGGAGGTGGTGGATATGTCCTGGGAGTTTGATCCCTGTCGGCATCTGGCAAGTATTCATGAGCCAAGCCTGCAAGGCCTTTGGGAGCAGCCCACACGCACACAGGTATCTGCCAAAAGAGGAGCCCACAAATGACATGCCACAAACGAGGGCCAAAAGAGTACATTGAACGGACACGCTTGCGTGTACGACATGCCGGATGCGGACTCCAATCAAGTGGCGGCTGTGCATGGATTGAGAAGCCCCAACATAATGCAAGATTGGTCGGTGCCCAGGAGAAAGGGGCTCCACAAGCAATGCCAAGGGGCGAGCTCTCAGCATTCCAGGCCCTGATACACAAGTGACCTAAGCACAGAAGCATGATCAGTGCACAGGTATTGGCGAAGGGTAATAAAATTCCATCCGCAAAGCGAACGAGGAGCTCAAGCAGGCGAGCACTGTGTGTTGAGGTAGGCATCCCTGAGCCACCGATATGCCTTTTTGGCACCCCAACAACATCAGTAGCACGTTCCGCATTATCAGCTCCTCCAGGGTAGAAAAGGGGAGCAGGAGTTTTCAACACAGTGATGCAGCCAACATAGAAGGCGCAATTGCACTGTAACAAAATTGGGTAACCTGCTGATGCGGACCGTGAATGCACAAAACCTGGCTGGGGGAATGGTGGACGGCACCCCGTCACGCTGTTAACACGACTCCGGGGGCAGCCAAAAAGGGCGCCATTATCCCTTCCGTCAAACACACAAGGTGTGCATGTAAGAGTGAGACGACCACTCCAGCTGAGCAAAGAGGCTGCAAGCGCATATTGTAGGCCTGGCGTGCGAAAGTCCACAGGGCGGGGGCATACCTGAATGGAGACACAAACCCAATGTCCCATATGGGTAGCCGAGGAGGACGGCCGAAGATGGCCGAGGCAACAGGGCAGGCAGTAGAAGACACAATGTGGCAGTGATCGACTGACTCGTTTAAAGCACCCTATGTTGCTATACAAAGGCCTGGTCTCAGCGAATGTACACCAAGCTGTACATCTAGAAGTGCCCTTCAGAGCTGTACACAGTTGAGTTCCATCCCGAAAGTGACCTGTCTCACTCCCAAGCAGGACACCCTGTCTCCGGGGCAACTGTGCATAGGAATTCAACTCCCAAGTTGAATTCACTACGCACGGGCCCTTTTGACGTGTCCATCTTGTGAGTCGGGTAGGTGTGACGGGGGAGGGCAGTGTAGTTGTCAGCCTCCCTCTGGTGCTGTCTTGGTAGTGTCCGCGTTCATATCCTGCGAGTCGCCGTCGTCTAGTAGGACATGTACCTGCCGGTGTTGTTGATTGATGCAGGCATTGAGTACGGCCGCCGCTTTGGCTCCAGGGGCAACCGAAACCGACGGCTTCTCCGTTTCCAAAGCCTGCTCCTTGGTCTGAGCATCCTCTGCCGCCGGGCGGGTCTCGGTCGTTGCCGTCGATATGGGCTGACTCGCGCCTGGGGCGAAAGTCCCGGTTTGACCTTGGTATAGGCCCCACTTGGAGACATCATGTAGGGGTCCGGCGGGTAGATGTCGTTGTAGGTGGCATTGCCTGGCGGGATCCCTGCTGGAAGTAGGCTCTCTTTCGCGGGGACCATGTGTACATCCGGAGGAGGGCGGCTGCTCTCCCCAGGCACTGTAGGCGGTGGGTAGGGCATGTATGGAGGCATCATAAACATCGGAGGTGGCATACCGAAAGGATAGCCTGTCAGGCCCGGTGGTGGAAGCGCATGTCCTCCAATTGGCGGCTGGGCCTCTGCACGACGAGGCTCCCCTTGAACTGCACGTCGTAGCACCGCTTCCGGTGTCGAAGCTTCGCCCTCCTGTGTCCACTGTGCCATCATGGTGTCCCATGTCTGCTCCAGCTCTGGTACAGGCTTGTCGCGAACGGTGCCGGCTATGGCTGCCTGGTGAACATCCCGCAACTCCGTGCGGGCTGCGTCCTGTGCTCTGGTGGCCTTGACCAGCTCGTCCTGTAGCGTTTCCAGAGCTTTGGCATGTCTCTGAGACTCCTTCAACCATGCCGTCTTCATGTCCTCGAGATATGTTTGCCACTGTTTTTTCTTGTCTTGTATCTGCTTCTCGATAGAGGACACCTTCTGCTCGGCCTTTCGCGCAACATTGACGCTGGCTTGGATCTGTTGGACATAACTCGCAGAGGCTACAGCCGCTTGTCCCGAGTATGCGGGGTCTCCTTCCGTGGCATGTTCGGTGCCAGGTCTCCGTCGGTCGTAGGCTGGGAAGGCTGTAGACTGGGAGGCTTTGGGCCATGAACCACGCCAATATCTGGCAAACTGTCCACTGTTTCCCCCAGCATATTGCTGTCCGCCTTGTTGTCGCCATTGTGCTTTGCCTCCCATGTGTAGACGTAGTAGTCCGGATCCGTGGTGCTTCCACAATCTTGCTTGTTGCAAGGATGTGAGGGGCCGTCCTGCCCTGTAAGCTTTCCGAGCTTTTGATCGTCGGCAGCGTTGTCGTCGATGCCAGCTGGGCGAACCAAGTTTCGCAATTGCTGGCACGAGCCTAACGGCAGTCCTTGCTGCCTGCTGCCTGGGGCACACAGTATTCCGGGGCTATCCCGGCGATCTGAGCCCTCCAAGATAGTATTGGTAATTATTTAGGCTCCTATATTAATTAATGTTACCTAAACCCTAAACCCTAGTGGGACCTTCAATATTACAGACACAGTCACAAAGAGGGAGCCCTTACGCTGCAACCCCACAGGGAGAAGGACCTTGGAGCCCTAGGCTCCAGCTTTACCCCACCCGCAGGACGCCTCTGACGGTTTAGGGTTTAGGATTTCGGGTTTAGGGTTTCGGGTTTAGGGTTTAGGGTTTCGGGTTTAGGGTTTAGGGTTTAGGGTTGAGGGTTGAGGGTTTAGGGTTGAGCGCCCTTCTGCACCTCATGTCTGCGGAAGCCAAGTCGTGACGGGAGCCGCTGTACTCGCTGGCTACACGGCTGCTTTGCTGCTCCTGCCAGCACAGCAAACTTCTTCCAGAACATCTCGCGCCCAGCATGAAATCCCGTGCTCTGCTCATGCCCAGCAGCGACTTTAGGAAAAACCTTTGCCTGCTTACTTATCTGCAAGTTTCTCTTGGCAGGCTGATCTCCCACCACTCTGCCGGTTCTTGCATGGTCGGGCTTCGACTTCAAAACTCCATCACAGGTCCAAAGTACCCAAAGAAGCAATGCTGCTGAGAGTACCCCGGACTCCGAAAACCCTCAATCCACAAAAACGTGGACTCTGAATCCCAAACGCTTAAGCCCTTGGCTGCACACGCAAAACCCAGAATCCAAAACCCTGAACCCCTAAACCTAGAACCCTTGCGTGCAAGAACCCGAAGATGAACGGCACATGAAACTGGAAGAGATAGAGTCGTTTAGTTTGGGCATGCTTTGATTTTCCGTTTGTAAGGGGGGGGGGGCTGTCATCTTCTGGTGGCTGTAAGGCGTGTGTCTGGGGCAGAGGGCTTGGGGCCTAGTTTAGCCTCAATGAACCCTAAACCCTAAACCCCAACCCCTAGCCCCAAACCCCTAAACCCTACAACCTTAACCCTAAACCCTAAACCCTAAACCCTACAACCTTAACCCTACAACCCTAAACCCTAAACCCCAAACCCCAAACTGCTTCAGGATCTTCCGGGGGGGCTCTTGAGTCTTGGTGCAGAGACCAAAACCCTGAGCCGGAGCAAGGGTCCTGTGTAACCTCGGTGATGCCTATCAAATGCTCCATCACGTCGGTCATGGGATTCCGCATGCAGACATGGTAGATGCCTTGTGCTCGGCCATCGCTTGACTGCGGTTAAGGTTTTGGGTTTAGGGTTTAGGGTTTAGGGTTTAGGGTTTAGGGTGGGACTACTCTCATGGGTTTACATCAGCATTTTTGCTGTTGCCGATACTGGCGGCGATTACCCTTGCTCGCGACGGTTACTTTCAATAGTAGAGCACTGATACCATAGTGTCACTTGTCTTCATATTCCTGCTGTTGCTACTAAACTGCTGCGAGTAGTCTTAGTCCTGTTGGTTCCGCTGCTGCCGCCACTACTACTGCTGCGTACTTGCGGCTCCTGCAGTGATTACTTCCGTTTCTGCTGCTGGTGCCGCCATATGCTACTGCGGCTGCTGCCACTGCTAAAGATTGCTACTACTGCTGCTATCATGACAATGCTACTTTGATAGAACTGATGGCATGGTAGCTGTGTTTTGCCCCACTGCTGTAAGGAGCGGGAGGGAGAGGGAGAGAGAAACTTATACACAAGTATATGTGTGTATACATATGTATACATACACATATACGTTCACATACATACACGTGTATATACATATCTACCAGATTATGCATTTAGGTACAAACATACATGCATACATACATACGTACGTACATACAAGTGCATGTGTGTGTGTGTATGTGTATATACATATA